GGTAAGATCATTCGAACTTTTTGTTTTTATCGCACTTTTTTTTAAGGTTGTAGCCCCTGTTACGAAATTTGCCTTGTCAATAACGCCAGTCGCGTTGAGTATAGAGGAGCTATTGCCCGAGTCTTATCTTAGGTCACACGGCACGTCTATAATGATACGAACGAGTTTAGTGGTCTCGACTCTAATAGTTGCGCTAACGGTCCCTTACTTTGGTAAGCACATCGATGTTTTTGATATGTTTTTTTCGCTCGTGATGTTTTTGCAGTTACGTTAATGGATAAAACCCATTTTTCAGGATCCGTTATGGCTCTGATTGGATCGTTCCTCGTGATGCTAGTCGTAAGTTTGGTTCGATTATTCCGATTTATACGAGTCGTGTATTGAGATAAAACCCAGCTACAAATTGATTCTTGTGCTAACCAAACACACATTTTTGTTGTTTTTATATGTTTATTTATTTATTTATTTTTTATTTTTTTGTTTGACATGAAACAGTCTGTTGTGTTGCCATGTGCTTGCTACATGAGAATAGACAGAGGAAGACTAAACAGACTGGAGGTTGATCATTTTGTCGAAAGAAAAGTTTTGCTTAAAATTGAAACCGAATTTGATTTTTATATATATATTTTTCTATTTGTATTTTTCTTCAGATTGCGACGTGCTCGATAATAATAGTCATGGGAGTCGTTTGCGCTGTCGTGGGCACGTGTTCGGCACTCAAGAGTATGTCTGGCTGATTATAGCGGCAAAAGTATAATAGAATTGGAAGAATGAATTATGGTGAAGTGAAGTGGATAAGTGGTCTAACGAGTGAAGAAAGTATGGCTGGTTGAACGTTAGACCTGCCTAACGGTAGTTATACTGAAAATGTAATTTTCTAATTGGTCACTTTTTGTTGAACTATTGGATATTAAAACGTGTGCACTCAAACTGATAGGCCGACCGACTGGCCGGAAAAAGACCTCTTCCGGTCAAGCCCGGCCCATGCTGCAAAAATGATGTAAATTTTATATATCTGGCCCACGGGCCTCTGTTTTCGGACAAATATGACAAACTGATTGAAGCACGCACCCCAAATCAACGTTCAATATTTTCAGTCAAAATTGCAGAAGTGTACTAATCTTTTGATAATCATGGCTTACCAAAGTCCAATAATGGTTCGGTAAACCTCATATTAACCAACGATAGTCTTATATCATTTTTTAGCTTTTCTTTTCT